TGTGTGTGTGTGTGTGTGTGTGTGTGTGTGTGTGTGTGTGTGTGTGTGTGTGTGTCTGCTCCCACCATGCTCCACGGAGCGTCGGCCGCAGGTCTCCTGGTTGATCCGATCGGGCCTCGGTGAGGCTGAACGCCACCCTGCTCAGGTCGGCCACGCCCACCTGCATGTCCTGCAGCATGCCCACCTCCTCACCTGAGACACAGTGAAGGTTCAGACCAGAGACAGACACCATGTCCTCAGATCCAGACCCCAGCTGGGTCCCCGTACCGTAGGTGCTGAGCAGACCCTCAAACTGGACCAGGACTCCGACTGAGTGGAGCTGCTGCAGGAACTCTGGATCCTCCAGACCTCCGTGAAGCTTCAGAACGAAGCCACAAACAACCGCAGACAGCTGGAGACAGAGACAGATCCTTCAGACTGAACTCTTCTGACTGTGAAATCAAAAACATTTATTTAGGTTTAGTTTTCTCACGGCCTGGCTGAACACAGCGTGGCGTCTCTGGAGGACCTGCGTCGGACCCTGAGCCACGGTGGCAGCCAGCGCCCCCTGCAGGACCATGAAGGTTGTGGCGGCCCGGGCCTTTGTCGCAGCCTCACGCACGCAGTCCCTGAGCGTGACCACCAGGGGGAGCAGCTGCTCCTGCCGGGACGAGGAGGAGGAGGAGGAGGAGGAGGAGGGAGGAGGGGCTGCAGACAAAGATCAGTCAGTTTCAGGCAGGAAACAAACAATAATAAATAAATAATACAGTTACAGGTAACAAGATCTTCCACCATGTTTTACAGCCTGAACGCTGAGTCAGCATTCTGAACGGTGAGTCAGCATTCTGAACGGTGAGTCAGCCTTCACAATGCTGATTCACCGTTCAGAATGCTCAACATTGATTTGATTTGATTTATTGATTTAACAGGAAAAGATTACTAAAATTCAAGCATGACTCAGCATAATTGCTGTTTTACAGCAGGTTCCTGTTCTGCAGCACATAAAACACTCAGAAATACAGCATCACAATCACATCGTTATACACCATGGACACAAAGACAAACAAGCATACCAAATTTCAGGAAGGCAGCATTTGCAAAATAGGACGTCTAAATA